TTTTTTTTTTTTTTTTGTGATTAATTGATCAAAAGTGGTTTTCTCGATTGCTCAATCTGTGAAAAAATTCAATCTTGCAAGTGTACACATTGGTAGACTGGTAGGGTCAATGATGTGAAAACTATTTTCGAAGAACTTGATAAATTAGATGTTGTTTCTTGGAATATAGCGATGTCCTTACATTCTTCGAAAATAAGTAATTTGAAAATACCAGTTGTTTCCATAAAATTTGGAACGAGTGGAAATTAAGCATTGAATTGTTAGCTTTCTTTCTTTCGGGGTTGGCAGAAGTTGGAAAACTAGTCAAGCTAGGCAAATACATAGCCTTTCAATAGAGAGCGGATTTTTTGATGATATTCTTGGGACAAGTTTGTTTGATTTGAAGGCATCAGCTCAGTTATTCACAAGTCTAGTACATCAATTGTATTTTTAGAAGTTCAAATGTCACTTTTTTAGTTTTTGTCACTTTTTTTTATTGTCTGTCACTTTTTAAATTTGTATAGCTTCTTTTAATTTGTGCCACCTTTTTGAATTCATCACCTTTTTGAATTTTGTCAATTTCTTTTTTTTTAATTTTTTGTCACCTTTCAAATTTTTGTTACTTTTTAAGAAGATAAGAAAATGAAATAATATGTTATATTTTCTTAACATAATCACATGTGAATTGGCCTGAACGTGCAGATTATTTTAATAACATGATTACTAGTGCTGCACAATGGATGATGATATTTTGAGCTTGTGTCACTTTTTTTAGTTTATATCACTTTTTTAGTGTGTCATTTTTTATTTTTTTTTGGTCACTTTTTTTGAGTTTGTAAAAAAAGTGACAATTTTTATAAAACAAGTAACATTGTGTCACTTTTTCATTTTATATTTTTTACTTCCTAAAAACTTTTCATATGATTTTTCAAAACATTGTGTCACTTTTTTAATAGTTTGTGTCACTTTTTTTAGTTTGTGTCATTTTTTGAGTGTGTGTCACTTTTTTTGAGTTTTGTCACTTTTTTTGAGTTTTGTGTCATTTTTTTTTAAAAAAAGTGACAATTTTTATTTATATATAAAAAGTGACATTGAGTCACTTTTTCATTTTACACAGNNNATAAATAAGTGACATTGTGTCGCTTTTTTCATTTTACACATTATTTTTGACTTCCTAAAAACCTTTCACATGATTTTTCAAAACATCCCTAATTTTAAGGGTATTTTTGTAAGTACCCCTTAACTAAATTCAATGACAAGTGGTGGTGGTTTGGCCTTGGGGTGTGGCCTTATTATTTTCTATAGATTTTTGGTGTTAAGAATGAGCGAAAAATCCAAGAGCTAAAGGGAGGGCTTTGAAATCTTTTAATTAAATCAACGACAAATGGTGGTGGTTGGAATGTGGCGTATCTATCCATTTTTTGTGTTAAAGAATGAAGGTAATTCATCTTTTTGTTAAAAAAAGTTACTTGCAGTATATTAATTAAATGTTATTTTGCTCAATACCCTCTTAACATTTGCAGTCCTCATTGGATTGGTACTTAACGTATCAATCCTGATATTCTTAACCTTATTTCA